TATCGGCTCGGGGGGGTCCGTTACGCAGGTGGAGTTGGAGGCCGTGGAGAGGGGCGTGCCTTGTGTTCCTGGTGCGCTTTACCTGAAAAGGAGAATGGGGAGGAGAGGGCCTGCCATGGGGCGGCCGGCGCTGGTAGGGCCGCGGATATGTGCCAAGCATTCCCGTGGCCCTGCCAATATGCAGCGAAGCTGGAACACCATGGGGTTTTATTCGGTACAATTCCGACATTCCGACCCGTCCATGCCCTCGCAAGGCGGGTGTGCGTAGGCATTTCCCCATATAAAAAAGGGTATATCTTACAAAATCTTAAGTAAATGTGTTAGATGTGTATTTTAAAGTATAGGTACTGGACGAATCAAAATGATGAGATTTATGGAAATAATGGTTTAAGAGCGTCATGTCGGCTTTGGTTCGAAGGCATGCCATGTAAGTTCGGATAATGTCATATTCATATTTGTAAGTACATTGTTTCGAAAAATCAACTTTATTACCTTCATATTAAGTTTATCTAATATATAAAAGTTAAATTTTGTTTGTTCGTACTTTATACGCTGTCATACCGTTCATCAAATTGCGCTAAAACTTTGTCAACTTATTGCTTGCATTTGGGCAAAGGTTATAGGCATAGTACAATTAACTTACAATAGTTGGCGCGCGTGTCGTACCTACGAGTTCATCAGGTAACTTCAATGAATGCATTATCTTTCCTAATTAAACAATATAAGTCTTCCAAATTTAAATCGATCTTTCGAGAATTATTTTTTCTTTGGCAGCAACGCGCCGGGTATCAGCTAGTGTTTTAAAAAAAATTAAGCCGTAAAATATTTTTGATTTTCTTAATTATTATGGTTTTGCCGTTTCCAATTAAATTTAAATTGTATGTGCCCAAAAACACAAAAAGAAAAATTTATTTGATTAACATCTAACACCTTCCATAACAAAAGCAGATTTTCGAATGTTCTTTTGTGTGAAATTAACACGGCAAACAATATCAAATGTTTCATTTTTACGCATTTTACGCCAGTACTAACCTTTTTTGCACGTTATTTATCTGTGTTACTTTGATTTTCAATGCTTAGGAGTCCAAATGTCAGTATTAATTTCAAGATTAAGGCATATTCTTAAGATATAAATTGCATACCGTTGTCTGAAAGCCCTTCAATTATATCTTCGTATTTCTTACATCTCTTTCTGACTTCAATCCTAATGAAACTGACAACGTCGTACAGTACTAGCCTTGCAATGATATTTTGCTGTCTTTCAGTTTATTGCCAATATAATCTAATTCAAATACACCTTCGGTGACTAGATGATTAATTCTCAGTCAGGTAAGTGACTCTGACAACAATTTACACAAATCTCGACTCGTATGCCACAGCCAGAACATAGTACAAGAGCACAATGTCGGAGACAGAATGAAGCCGATTTGACCGGATCCAAGAAACCCCGACATTTACCTAGGAAGAATACTGAACTAGAGTTCAAACGGACCTTATGCACTTTTCTAACATCGCGCCAAAACTTGTGTATACTTGCAATCAACTGAGCTAAAAAGTGATAAATAAATGTCAAGAAAAGGATATTTTTCTCGAAATGTGTTATTCTAACCCCAGAGTTAAGCGGTAGGTACTGTAAAATTAAAAAATACAAAATTCAAGTATCCATATGTGAAAGTTTCACATTTCACATTGTAATGCCGACGATATGAACAGCTTCAATTAGGCAGATATTATGTTCGTATCGCTATACCACACAGAACTGAACAGCAGACGCTGGTATCTTTCTATATTTTCGCGGTGTTTATAGATCTGCAACAACAACGCCTGGTTGATTTTATGGACGAGATAAATGTAAAGAAAACTACTATCAAAGATTTGAAACCTGAAAGAGTTGGAAAAAGAGCTTAACGTCTATAGATAACATGAAATATGACATTTATGAATAATTTTCCTCATCCTTATAGTACTACGACCATGTTACGACCTCGCAGTATTATGCTTATCCATCCAGCGTGATTGTTTGAGTGCAATTTAATTTTGCCTGTTTAGCTTCGGAAAGAAGGAACGGCACCTTTTAGCGCCCATTTGATTGAACTGTTAAAAGTCATTTGGGATTTTAGCAACTTTAGTCTTTTTGTTTTTTCTGACAAATTTAAACTTGGTTTTAGAAAGATGCCTTGCATTTTTTTTCCATTATAAATTTCAAGTGTTTTTGTGAACATACATTAAATACTGCGAGGCCATAATTTACATATTTATTTCTTTAAATTTTTGGCACTGGCTACATTCCGACGACCTCTTCAGGAAAACGTCATCGGAATGTAGAGTTTTGTCTGTGCGTTACAGGATCAGGTCATTAAAATTAATAATTTTTGGAGATATATCCTAAAAGATGGCACTGTTGACACCTGTCCAGCTTTTATTCATCCCAATAAATCACTTAGGTATGTCATCTTCAGTTGTTCGGCGCTTTACTTTCTAACTCTGAGTATTTGCACAGACACAACCTAGTATTTATTTATTTATTCTTTTTTGCACCAAATATTTATACAAAAAGCGAGCTTAATGCTATATGGCATTCTCTACCAGCTAACCTTGGGTAGAACAGAAAGTGATAGGAAAAAAAGTAAAAAAAGTATCCAGGACCCTACACCAGAAGCTCGCTCTGAAGTACAGTCTCATAGATCGAAAAACTTGCCGAAAGTCGATCTCGAAAATGACCGTGTCGGGGGCTCTGCTGGGACCGAACCATTGTCACAGATAGGAATAGTCTTGCGAACAAGCCGGCCCCAATCTATTCGTTATAACGAGAAACTCGTGAAAGACGAAACATATAAACGAATTAATTCCGGTCAGTCTCGGACTAGGTGACACGGACTCCATGATGGATCACTCCGAGCTCAAATACAGAAGTCGGCGCACCGCAATACCACCCGCATTGTCCACCGTCTTCTTTCCCTTGTCCCCTTGTCCCCCCTTACCCTCAACCGTTTTGTCTCCGTTTGGTGCTAAGTGCTTCCGTCTGGTTGGGTTTTATCTCTTAATAATAATAAAGACATTAATTTGAATCCTATAGAAAAGTAAAAAAAGAAAAAAATTAATAGAATGTACAAGTAAATAGATAACTTCAGATTATTTATTCAACATTCGGCATTATTTATATCAACTTTCTTCAAAAACTGCCGTTGAAGCTGGTCAGGCGGCACCTGACTGGTGTACCAAAGACGAAAATTTTTGCGCATAATCGTATCCACACGCACTTACTTCTCAGCAAACATGCGCCGCAGAACCGAGGCATCCCCGTTAGCACCCGAAATGCATAATATTTGTATTGCACTCGCATGGCGCTGTACTACTGTTGCTGCTCAGATATAGGTATGTGCAATAAAATTTAAACAGTCATTTAAATTTTTAACTTCAGTCATGCAACGGGCCTGCTAACTTGCGGGTTATCATGTTGAAAATGAACACTCGCGATTTTTCAATTAACTCGTCGTTCTGTAAAGGTGAACATTTTATTTATTAATAGAATGATCCACGACTTTTTCTGCCACCAGGGCGGCGCCACTTAAAAGTGATATTTGACAGTTTTCATAGCGGGGAGTTAATTTGTTCGGAAAATGTAAATGTAAATGTTTCTTTCTGTACTATTACCTTTATTTTATATTAATAAGAATAAAAATAAATAAACCAAACCACAGATGTTTATAAAATTAGAAAATAAAAACAAGTTAAAAATGTGCAAAAAAGTAAAAGGCAAAAACCACTGTTCTGTGTAATAATTTATTACTCGAGAAACTGATAAAGTTTTAGTAAATACTAAGTTCTCAATTAAATGACATTGTGTGACAAAAAACTTTACCTCAGTGTCAACTAGCGACATCTGGTGAGCAGAAAATTACTAGCCCTCATTTAATATATTTATCATTCATTTATAATATATATATCATCAGTGAGTGGATTTTTGTGAATGGGTAACTAATAAAACCATTATGTAGGGTGAATGGAGCATACAATAATATTTGTTTAGGAAAAAATTTTTGAAAGTAAAAATGCTATATTTTAATACCTAGCTATGTCAACAGATGTCAACCGATTTTAAGTAACATGTTTCATTACAAAACCCTTGTAACTAGGCTTACCAATTGTCCCATATTTTCCGGGACGTCCCGCATCTAGAGCCGTCGCAGCTTGAAGTGAAGTCCAGGAATTCATTAAACAATCATTCTCATTATAGTAATCATTAAAAAAATGGGTCTAAAAAGATAATATTATCGGTTTTTTGTTGTTTAAAATTGTTTTAACTTTCTCCGATCCTTGTTTTTATTAAAAAATATCAGAGTCATATCCCCAACTTTTAATGGGCGTTTTTACATTCGTGAGTTTTCCATATTTTATTACGTGTATTAAAATCTATTTGAACAAAGTAATCGCAAAATCGTTCTCAACTTATGATATGCTCAAATCCTTTAAGAAAATCTCGGATATGACTTTTGTAGAATTGGCAAGCCTAAACGTAACGTACAGTAGAAGTTATGTTTTTATATTAATTCTTATTGAGAAATATTATCAATTTCAGTTGCACTGCGAGTGTTTTCTATAGGAAACGCTTGATTGCAACCACGACTAATTCGTTGCCCACAATAAAGTGGGCCAATCTCGGACACCGGTCTACTTTCTCGACAGTTTTATTTACTTATCTCGTCGGGAAGCGTTGCCAACAGACCACGGCCAACAGTTTTATGTAACTTTGTTGTCGAAACCGAACGTACTGCGAAATTGTTAATTTTATCTATCCCAGTGTGGACTATTTCTCTTTTATGGCGCCGCTGAAAGCTGGGAATTTTTTCACGAAAAATACTTTTATGTAGTAACAACTTTTTTTAATAAAATAACATCACAGTCGACAAACCGAATGAAAAACATTAAAGCAATAAGTTTATAATTAAATAGACATACTAAGAGCCCTGATACTAGTGGATATCTTGGTCGTGAAGCACTTATTTGTGTCCTTTTTTGTAGCCCCAATGCTTGTGATCTTCATGACCTCCTTTCTTTCCATGATCATGATGGTGATGATGATGCTCATGATGACCTCCTTCATCATGGTAACCCTTGTGGTCATGGTGGTGTCCTCCCTTTTCATGGTGACCCTTTTTTCCATGTTCATGTTCATGATGCCCGCCGTGCTTGTGTCCTTTGTGGAATTCACCACCCTTTTTGTGTCCATGCTCCTCATGATGTCCACCATGATGCTCATGATGCCCCCCATCGTGATGATGGTCGTGGAAGTGTTTCTCTTTTTTAAACTCGTCATGTTTGTGAACTCCATGGTGACCCTTTGTCGAGTGACCTTTGTGGTAATGACCTTTTTCGTGATGACCATGTCCTTTATGTCCTTTCTCGCCGTGATGGTGTTCGTGATGATGCCCGTCGTCATGGTGGTGATGCTTCTTGTGCCCACCGTGCTCGTCGTGGTGTCCCTTATGACTTTCGTGGTGATGGTGGCCCTTCTTACCGTGTTCGTCATGATGGTGTCCCTTGTAACCCTTGTGGCCCTTCTCGCCGTGGTCATGGTGATGATGCTCATGATGTTCATGACCACCTCCTTTATCCCATTTGCCACCGTGATGGCTAGCCGCAACCTCCAAGTCTGCGTCCCTTTTATCCCGAGGGAGTTCGCGGCAGCTGACAGTAGCCAGCGCCGCTAAGGCAACGCAGCATAAAATAAACGTCCTCATGTTCCAACTTTGCTGAGGAGATCAAGTTGCTGACTGATGCCTACCCCAGCAGAATTAATGTTTTTATACTAATAGGTTTGTTTTTTGGTACTGTATTGAAAATTGTGTAAATAATCAAGGTTGCGTTAAAAATATGCCGCTCAATTGTAGAAAACTTTGTTGCGCAGCGCTGGGATAGTATGGCTCAATGATAAAGTAACAAAGTCACCCATTGCAAATACACTTTCTTAGTTTGCTTACGTTATTTGAAACTGGGTTTTTCATTTAACCTTTTATGACTTTTAATGTGGTTAGTTTCTACAGGTTTGAATTTTTTTAATGTTATTAAGGCAGAATTTAAGTTCAGTCAAAACGTAAAAATTTATTTAGTTATATGTGAAATAATTTTTAAACAGTCATACATTATACTTATTTGACATAAGAATATTACGAATATATGTTTCAATGAATCCAGAAACTTCAGGACTAGTGTATAAAACTGTGCTTTATGAGCCAGTGGTTTCTCACATATGAATGCGTTATTAATTTATGTATTAACTCAAACAAAACTTCTTAAAAAGGAAACACGTCGCGCCCATGGTATACAATTAAAGTTAATTATGAATATATACTCGTAGATCATACGTACACCTATCCCGGAAATCGAATCTCGACGATTTTATCGGTTTTCGTTACCGATACACAAATGCTGTAAATTAACAAAGACTATAATAATATATACTTATATATATTATATGAAATTTCGAATAACAGTTCGTATAATATCGTCATTACAGCGCTTTAAAAGTCTACTGCTGAACATAGGGCATCCCCAAGGAAAGTCATAAAGCACGGTCTCGAGCCACCTGCATCCATTGACTTCCTGCATGTCTTGCAAGTTCAGTTCGCCTGCCGGTACGAGGCTGCCACTCGAGAACCTTTCTTCCCCGTCGGATGTCGGTTCTTCGAGCTATATGGCCAGCCCATTACCAGTTCTCGGTTACTCTTTTCTACTGCTGATATCCTCGTTTTTAAATATATCATGCAGAAAAACGCCGAGCATAGTCCTCACCATAGCTCGCTGAGCGACTTTGAGCTTCCTCATACGGCCAACAGTGAAGGACCACGTCTCAGATCCATAGGTCATCACTGGCAACACGCACTGGTTGTACAATCTAGTTTTGAGGTTTTGAGGTATGTCTGACGAGAAGATGTGTCGTAAACTCCCGAACGCTGCCCAGCCGAGTTGAATCCGTCGATTGACCTCTCGGTCGAAGTTGGACTTACCTACTCGGACTATTTGTCCCAGGTACACATATTCGTCAACAACTCAGAGCTTTGTACTCCCAACAACTACCAGCATAGGTGTGACATGGACGTTAAACATGATTTTTGTTTTGTCCATGTTAAGACCTATCCGTTGGGAGGCACTATTGAGGTCATTGAGCATAGTGCTTAGGTCCTAAAGCGATTCTGCCATAAGTACTACATCGTCGGCAAATCGAAGGTGAGTGATGTAATCGCCATTGACGTTAATACCGTATCCTTTCCAGTCCAGTAGCTTGAAAATGTTTTCCAATGCAGCGGTGAAGACTTTCGTGGATATAACGTCACCCTGTCTTACACCTCTCTGCAGTTGGATAGAGTTCGTACTCTGGTTCTGTCTCGGATAGCCATTGGTTTGAGTTTTTGAGTTTGTGTATTTACGATATGTGTTTAGCAGAAATTATAGGAATAGAGAACGAAGAATTAATAATAAATAAAGTAAGAAGGAATGCGGTAAGTGACAAATGCAGCATAAAAACGTATGCTTCATAAGTGACTGGCAGAGTCAGACGCGGAAGACGCCCCTATTCGGAAGTTAGGTCGGCCACATACATACGGAATTCCGTTTCGTGATTCCGTTTCGGAATCCCGAATCGGGATTCCGTGAATACATCACACACATACATTTTTTCCGTTCGGAATAACGAGGGTCAGTTGAGAGACGTTAGCCATTGAGTCTAGACATTCGGCCAGCGAATAATGACGACGATTTTCTAATTGCGATTCCATTGTTGCTGTATCATTATTACTAGGTGCATCCCCTTATCACCATAAGCTTGCAATATAGTCAATATTATGTAAAAAGATCTATCTATCCAGAGATATCTTTTAAATATTTAGTCTGTAAATTCTTTCGACGAATTATTAAATAAAATAAGATGAAAGTTTACGAAACGCTATACACCTACAAGATTAAATGTAAAAACCTATACAATACGTAACAAAAAACCTGAGGTTCTCGTTAAGTACGTTATCAGGATCATTATTCAAACGTATAGAAATAACTTTTTTTTAAACACGAACAATATTTCTTTTATTTTCTTTAAAAAAATAATTGTATGCAAATTGTATGTGGTTTTATTACCTCTGCATTGTCTGGGGAGTAAGAGGATTGTCAAAGACCCCGCTTTACTTAGCTTTAGCATTGGCTAGTGTCAGTAAGAGGTAATAAAACCACATAAAATAAAATAAATTAATAAAATAAAAAAATATGGTCGAGTTTTAAAAAAGAAGTTATTTCTATAGGTTTGAATACTGATCCTGATAACGTACTTTGCGGGAACCACAGGGTTTTTGTTACATGTTGTATAAACACACCTACTCGCTTCGGTCGTGCAACCCACACGGGGCGCGTTCCGTACGGAATTTTTACAAATGTGTGTTGCGACTCATACAAAATCTATGGAAGACTTGCGTTCGAAACGGTTATTTTCCGTTCGGGATTCCGAACGTACAGGCGGTCCTAGGCCCGCCATATATATACGGAATTCCGTTTCAAGATTCCATTTCGGAATTCCGAACGGGTCGGCCACACACATACGGAATCCCGTTTTTCCCGCAAAATTTCGAACGGAAAACTACCGTACGTGTGTGACGGGTCATAGATTTTATATGGATTTGCTGCGTTCGGGATTCCGAATCGGAATATCGATACGGAATCTCGAAACGGAATTCCATATGTATGTGGCCGGCCTTACGGAATCTCGAATCGGAGAAATTCCGTACGGAAAAATACCGTACGTGTGTGGCGAGTCATAGATTTTATATGGACTTGCTGCTTTCGGGATTCTGAATCGGAATATCGAAACGTAATCCCGAAACGGAATTCCGTATGTATGTGCCCGGCCTTAGGCCGGCCACATACATACGGAATTCCGTTTCGGGATTACGTTTCGGAATCCCGAATCGGGATTCCGTGAATACATCACACACACACACGTTTTTTTTCCGTTCGGAATAACAAGGGTCAGTTGAGAGACGTTAGCCATTGAGTCTAGACATTCTGCCAGCGAATAATGACGACGATTTTCTGATTGCGATTCCATTGTTGCTGTATCATTCTTACTAGGTGCATCCCCTTATCACCCTAAGCTTGCAATATAGTCAATACTATGTAAAAAGATCTATCTATCCAGAGATATTTTTTAAATATTTATGTATGTAAATTCTATCGACGAATTATTAAATAAAATAAGATGAAAGGTTACGAAAAGCTATACACCTACAAGATTAAATGTAAAAACATACATAAATACACCTACTCGCTTCGGTCGTGCGACGAACACTGAGCGCATTCCGTACGGAATTTACGTATGTGTGTTGCGACTCGTACAAAATCTATGGAAGACGTGCGTTCGGAGCGGCTATTTTCCGTTCGGGATCCCGAACGCACAGGCGGTCATACGGAATCTCGAATCGGAGAAATTCCGTACGGAAAAATAACGTACGTGTGTGGCGGGTCATAGATTTTATATGGACTTGCTGCATGTGGTCGGCCTAAGGCCGGAATCTCCGGCCTTAGGCCGGCCACATACATACGGAATTCCGTTTCGAGATTCCGTTTCGATATTCCGATTCGGAATCCCGAACGCAGCAAGTCCATATAAAATCTATGACCCGCCACACACGTACGGTAGTTTTCCGTTCGATATTTTGCGGGCTAAACGGGATTACATTTGTGTGTGGCCGACCGTTCGGAACTCCGAAACGGAATCTCGAAACGGTATTCCGTATGTATGTGGCCGGCCTAAATCGGCAATATATTTAAGATGGGCCAATGTTGGTGCGAGCAAGTTGACGACAGCTTGTACAAACAATTTATTTATTTATTCTCTATTGCATTCCTTAATCTAAAAGAATACAAAGGGCGGACTTAATGCCTTGTGGCATTCTCTACCAGTCAACCCATGGAGTGGTGAGAATTTGGAGTAGGTGTAGCAATATGGAATAAAAACAAAATAGAATTTTATAATTAATTACGTTATATATATATTTTACTAATATATACAATAAATAAACTAAGTATAAAAATATATCCTATTTATACATGTATACAAATATATACGTACATACATAAGCATACATATATTCATACCAACATACATATACAAATAATACATATAAATAACTATAAATATATACGTCTAAAATATAAATGACATGGATGATTCATCTAAGAAGCGTTGTCTTTAACAGATGATTACGCACCAACTTTTTAAAAGCAAACTTATTGGGAGCTTTTCTGATGTCGTTAGGCACGGAGTTCCAAAGGCGTGCAGCCTGAACTGTAAAGAAATTACCATAGAACTCGGTGAAGTGAACTGGAATACATATTTTGTTGTTAGAAGACGAACGTAGAACCCTATCATGAGATGAGGAGAGATAGTGAAATTTACTCTTAAGATAAGAAGCCGAAAATGGGTTATTTAATATGGAAAAAAGAACAAGTAACATTCTGGAAATACGCCTCTGCCGGATTGTAAGCCAATTAAGCTTAGATCTATATTGCGAAATATGGTCATACTTACGAAGCCGGAAAAAAAACTTATACAGTTATTGAGAAGGCGTTCCAGCTTGTTCAGAAAATCCTGGGACAGATCCGGGTAACACACATCTGCATAATCAATTATGGGTAATATGAGTGATTGGACAAGCATGATCTTAGACTTTGTGGGGAGAAAATGTTTTAAACGATA